TGGTAATGGGGACTATGTAGGCATGGATATTTCAGTAGAAATTATTGAAAGGGTCAGGAGACTCAGTTCTTTGAAATGCTGTGTATAGGTAAAGACAGAAAAATGTTTCTTGAACAGTCTTAGAAGATGCACCTCTTGCATTTATATATATTGTGTAGTAAAATGTTACAGCTCAAGAGGATACCTGATTAGTACTTTCATATTCATATGGGAATATATTCTTCCCCTCAAAGGAATTTTTAAAATCCCTTCAAAATTAATGGTATTATGATACAGCTTTTAAACTTAGGGTTTTTTTTTTTTGTTCTTTGGAACACACATAAATTCTTTTTAGTCTAAAAGTCGATGGGATTTTTAACATATTTTGCTCTGAATTGTGTTCAATTCTGCCTTATTTTCTGACTCAATAAATCATCTCAAATATAACTGAAGTAGGACAATTTTTCTGGCTTACTTGATGATAATTATAAAATAGCTGAAGAAATAACCTGACTTTTACTGACTTGCTTTAGAGTGAGGTGGCTTACAGTTAGTAGTCAGTCAAAACCCATTGCTAAAGTGTAGCACCACTGCCAAATGTGTGCCTTGCAGGAGACACACTCTGCTACCTATCATTTACATTTGGTAAAAAAATGTGACGTGACAATGCAGAGCAAAATTAGCATCAGTCAGGAGAAGCCAAGGGCTGTGACTGTGGTCACAAGGGTTTTCAGGATGAAGAAGAGACGAGAATGTTGACTCCATTATCAGAAGGCTTGATTTATTATTTTATGATATATGTTACATTAGACTATACTAAAAAGCAATAGAAAGGAAAAGGTTTCTTGAGAAGCTAGCTAAGCTAAGAATAGAAAAGGAATGAATAACAAAGATCTGTGTCTCAGACAGAGCAAGAGCCAGCTCTGCCATGAGTGGTCAAGAAATCCAAACACCCACAGGAGACCAATCATGGGTTTACCTGTTGCATTCCACAGCAGCAGATAACCATTGTTTACTTTGGTTCTTGAAACTGCAGCTTCTCACAAGGAAAAATCCTAAGAAAGGATTTTTCATGAAAGATGTCTGCGACAAAAGGCTGTTGAATGTTTTTGCAGAGAGTGCTGACTCGATAGGGTAAGTGGCATCAAGAGTCTTCAAATGATCCAGTTTAATTCAATTCCTGAATTTCCTTCCTGGACAAAATTGCCAGTTTTAGCAGTGCTGGGACAAATCATGTGAAGTCTTAGAGATGTGAGCTGGTGCCTACTGGGATTAACAGACAAAACATTCATTCTGTGCTGAAATTGAGATGTAAGGTATACTTCTAGAGACAAGATGACAAAATATATTATCCAGCTCTGCTATTTGCCGTGTGACAGTGTGAAAGGGCCCTGTCAAATGAAATACCCAATACCTACTTTAAAATTTATGTAGTTTTTCAATAGTGGCATCTAAAATGACTTTAATTTAGACAGAGATTTGGGAGGAAAAGGAGATAAAGATGTGTAGTAGTATCTGATTTTTGATGTTCCTTAGTTGTATAAAATTGACATAAATTTGACAGCCACGTTCTATAGTTTCTTTTGTTATTTCATGTACACATTGAAGCTACTCCTCTTACTGCTGTATCTTTGGAGAGAGATTCATGAAAAAAGACTTAAAACAGTACGAAATTTTCCTAAAGACACAAAACTGCGAATTAAGTCCCTTTAAATTTCCTGTTTCAGATAGAAGTTCTGATTTTTTTTATACTTACAAGCTTTATTCTATATGATTTTTTTATCTGTTAACTAATTTTGTTATCTGTTTCTCTGTTTTATCTAGGCATAGTAGATAAAAATAATTAGCTGCTGTTACTCACACATTAAATCAAAGGAATCATCCCTCAAAGAAAAGAAACTGGTTTTAAAAGGTGACATAATTAGGTAGTAAGGATAAAACCTTACCCTCGTATTACCTCCCTCTTTTAAAGAAACTATGTCCGCTTTTCAGAGATATAGGTGATCTGAAAAAAAAAAGAAATAAGAAAACCCTCTGAGATGTGAGCCAGGGTAGAGAACAGAAAAGAATTGTTGTGCCAATACCTGAGAACAGGGCAGCTATTTAAGTCAGGTCCTGCCACATCTCCTGAATATGTCTGACACAATGAGCTGAAGGAGGTTGATGATACTGAATTACAGTTTTCTAGGGTTTTTTTTTCTGTCTGGATATAAGATTTAAAAAATCAAACTTTTTACAATATGAGACTTACATATAATAATGTCTGGGACAAATAATTAGCACATTAGTGAAAAAATCTCAGCAAAACTAGAGTTTCTCATGTGAGGAATATTTCTCTGAAAATATTACTTGTTGCTTTGTTTGAAATAGTTCATATGTTTAGAGGATTAATTTCTGTATTGTGGTGTAAAGAAAACCATGATTGAAGAATAGTAATGCCTCTAATTTGTGGAGGAAGTTATACTCTTGTCATCAGCATGAGGAGGTTAGCTGAGTTACTAACTTCTTAAAATGATAATTTTCATGTGCTCAATGGATATTTTTAACTAAATTCTGAAAAGATTCACCTCATTGTACCTTGCTGCAGTGCGGTCCAAACCTGGTCAGGTACTGAAAAAACCCCACTCAGTGTTCACAGAGTGATCAAACATTCTTTGTCATAGCAGTACAAGAACTTTCTTTTCTTTCATGGAACTAGGATCTGTTCTGATGCCAGAGAATTGTAAGGACAGTCAAAATATGTTTCTAGCACCTTTCTTAAAACTTCTGAGTGACTTATAATGAAAGTTGCAAGTCTTTCCGATTTGCTTGAATCGTAGTAAAGTGAAAACAAAAGCAAAAGAGAAAATGGGGTCTAAGACCAGAGTGAGAGAAGGATCAGCTTACTCCTACTAAAGAGGTAGTATGTGACTAAGTGAAAGTATATTTCAAAAGACTTTGAAATATTTTTGGTTTTAATAAAAAGTTTCTAAAGCATAATAACTGAGTTTATAAATTTGAACACTTTGAAGTTAGAAAATTGACCACTTCAGCTTTGAGGCGCAAGTTCTCATTTCAGGGTTACCATTGCTAACATTGCCAGTTGTGCATTGTCAGCCTTTAATTTGTTTTTGTATTCTTTTCTCATCAAACACATGCTTTATCAGAGATATTTAGAAGGAGAATACTGGACATCACATCTTGCAAACTTTGGAAGACCAAGACTCTTAAAACTTTCCATAATTTGCATTAATGTTCATTCTTACTTTCTAGATAGTTAAATGGAAACATGTGTTGCCTGAGTAACAAAAATGCTAAACACTCACAGCTGCAGGAGCCAACAGTGGGAACTCTCTTCTGAACAGCAAATTCCCTAAACAAGAAGCTTTATCTTTGGGCTGGAATCCTGATTAGGGGTATCCATACCCATTTTGACTGTTATGCCTCTTAGATTATGCCCCTTTTGCAGATGAGAACTATGCTCCCACATGGTACTGGTAACCCACATTGCCAAGTGGAATGTGGAAGTGAATTCTTTGAAATTTATAATTATGGTATTTTGAAATAACACTCCAGGGAATTAGTAACTCTGTGTTTGGTCAGGTGTTAACATGGAAGTACATGAGGAGTGCCCGAGATAAATAGAAACATCAATAAAACACAAATTAGTTAGGACAAAATCACAGAATACTTGAAATTGTCAGGGGTCTCTGATGGTCATCTGGTCCAGTGCTAGCTGGGCTTCCCAGAACCAGTTGTCCAGGGACGTGTCTGGGTGGCTTTTGAATATCTCCAAGGAAGGAGATTCCAGAAGCTCGCTGGGCTATCTGTGCCAATGCTCAGTCACTCTTTCTGCAACAGTGTCTCCTGATGTTGAAGCCTCCTGTGTTTCAGTTGGTGCCCATTGTCTCTGGTCCTGTCACTGGGTACCACTGAAGACCCTGGACCCTCTTCTTTGCGTTCTCCCTTTAGGGTTTTGTACATATTGATAAGATCCTCTCTGAGCCTTCTCTTCTCTAGGCTAAACAGCTCTCCCAGCTCTCTCATCCTGTCCTCACTGGAGAGGTGCTCCAGTTGTTGAATCATCTCTGTGGCCCTTCAGTCAACAGATGTGATGGGAACAGATAATTAAAGAGAGAAGGATAATGTCCATGGATTTAGTTGAACAAAAATGATCAGTCTAACATTTTTTACAATCTAGAAAAAAATTTTTAAATGCATTATTTTTTATTTGTAGTTTATAGGTATTCTTACAAGTATTAAACCAATTATATTGTGCTTCACTATCTTGGGAATTCCACCTCCTTTTTTTATGGATCTTTAGCTATGAAACTGCAGACCTATTGCCTGGACTGTTAACACTAGACTTTAGCAAGAGAAGCCTGCTATTTATTAGAGAAATGAACTTCTAATTTTGTACAGTGGATGTTTCAGAGTCTGTATGAAACCGGACCACCATCCTTCTCTGTGATCCATTTCTTTCCCTCCTCATGTGCCCCTAAGAGAGAGTGTTGAGTGCAGCATGTGATATGTAAGAGGTGTGATGGCAGCCACCAATGCCCCTTTGAACTAACTTCCAGAAATTTTATGCGAGTGCAGAAAACAGATCAGAAAGTTTTCTAATTAATTTCAAAGAGCAGACACTGTCCTCTGATTTCTGAAAAAGATGATATCTACAATTCTAAAACTGACAGAAGAGACTACTGTAACCTCTTGAAATTTTTACTTGGAGCACACAATATACCCTCTTTATGAATTTCTGTAATTCTCTAGTAATTAAGTACAGCAATCAGTCAAGACAACATACCATGCATGCAGACAGAAATTCAGCTATGCACTTAAAAGAAATACTAGTTTTGTATAGGCATTCAAATTAATTTTTCTTCTGGTTTTGGTCATTTTGTCTGTGCCATACCACAACAGGGATCAATTTCACTATCTGCCTATGAAGTACCAAGAGATACTGCATAGTTATTTAGAAATCTTTGGTCAGTACAAATGAAGAGAAATGTCCCGGTTATCTGATTGGTTTTCATCCACAGTGCATGCATTGGATCCCAAGACCCTTATTGTGGCTGGGACATGGTGATGAAGAAATGCACAACGCTGGAAGAGAGTCTGAGCATGAGTCAGTGGGAGCAAAGCATTACCGTGTGTCCAGTAAGTCCAAATGCATTCATTTGTCTCTTGAAACCTTTGATTCCGTGAATTTCATGAAAATGAACTGGCATAGATTTTTCAAGCTCAGAAAACTACATTTAATGTCATTTTCCTTAGGTTTTCCCATCAGATTTTAGCAGAATACCTAGTTTCTTTTCTATTTCTTATTAAACTGCTTCTGTGATAAAGTTATTTAGAGCAATTTCAAAGCGTGGTTGTTTTTTATCCGTAATGTCTATTTTTCCACCTTGAAAACAAATGTTTTCTAAGATTAGTGATATTGCCATATTTTTCCCTGCAGAATTTTTCTCCATTATGTCCTTTGAAAAAGTTTACTCACTAATGGTAAAATCTTTTCTTTTAGGATTATTATTGGTAATATAAAAAGCCAAAAAACATCTTCTAAATTCCATGAATTGGAAGGCTGAATTCCATGAGTTAAGGCTCACACACATTAACAACAGAGGTGATAATTACGATAAATGCAAGGTTCATATTTACAGTGGCTTAGCACCTCTCTTTAAAAAAATATTTTTAATAAATTCAATATAATATAAAAAAGCACCAACAAACTTGATATGTATCTCTCATTTTAAATTTTATTCTGGTTGTTTTAATATTCATTCTTTTCCCTTGCTCAAAAGCATGCAAAAAGAAGGGTTTTTGTGCTATTGAGCTTTTCTTTTTTTAAGATCCTTGCTGCTTTGTCCTTCTGCCCATAAGGAGGGAGCCATTCCAACTCAGTTCTACTTTCATTCCTAGTAAGGACTTCTTGATCTTGTCCCCACTCACCAGTGAAGCACATGCATCTATAAACTTATGCTCACATGGCATTTGTGTTCTTATTTCCATGTGTTTACAAGCTCCCTTTAACATCTTGATGACACTTCTCTCTCCTAAGCTGGGCTTTGTTAGTGAACTAGAGATGTGCAAAATCAATATAAAGTTATTTCAGCTCTGACTTGTGCTCTCTACATGTGTTGCAGCAGCCTCATAGATACAAACACTACACTGATTCTGAGGGCCTTGAGAATATACACCTGTGTTTGACTATGTTTGACATTAAATAGCAATTTTTAAAACATTTTTTCAAATTTTTAAAACTTTTAAAAAATGCTTGTGTCATGCCCTGTCATTTGCTTCCACCTTCTCATATACAGGACTAATAAAATAGGCCTGTGTTGGATTCATCTGCATTAGCATTTGAGCTGAAATTAGGAGCAACTTTGAGGAAAATACTGTGATTATTGAAATGCCTTATTTTGTTATTTGCATGGACAGTCAGCCTGCTCATGTGCTCAGTCTTTGAATTGTGGCATTAGGCCTTGTTTTCTTTTGTAGATATAGAACCCAAGGCCAAGATGGGGTGGAGGGAGGAATAATTTAGAAAGCATAATTCCATTCTGTTCTGTTCAACTGGAAAAAGAATTATTTAGTATCCATTATATGACATGTGCACAGGATATGGAAGTCTAGTCAAAGCAGGGGAGTACCTAAGTCTTGCTTAGAAATTTATCCATAGCAGTGAGACCTATCCTGCTGATCTGAGATTCAAAGACCTGATGAAACTCCAAAGAAATTTTGTCCTTGAGCATATTGAACTTGCATAATATAAGGAAGATTTTAGAATTATCTAAATTGAAAAGTGTGGGTTTACGCCTTTACTATTTTAAAGCCTTTACTATTTTAAAGCCTTACACCCTAAGTAACACATTGTTGAACAGATTGGAAAAACTTCACAGAAACTTTCCTCTGAAGTAACACAGTATTCTGGCAAACTGCAATCAATTACAATTTTGCTTAGTGAGGCTTTCAAATATTTGTTTTTATAGCATTTTTTGTGCTGTGCTCACAGAAAATATATGCCAAGATGTAATTAATTTAATTTTGTAGGCAACTGAGCTATGTGCATCCTTAACATGTGCTAGATATATTCAAGACACTGTTGCAAGCAGAAAATAACAGAATATTCAAAACCTACTTTCCCTTTTTTGGTCCCAACTGCTTCCAATACCTTAATTGTTAGTAAAATTACTCATATCTTTTTAACATTGTAGATTTGTTTTAGATTAATGAATGATCAGTTTCTTCTAAAATTGGATCAGAGAGAGGTCTGATTATACAGTAGATTACTCCAGAATAAAAAGTGTGATCAGTTTCCTTGGAGAAATTATTTCCTACAGAAATATTCATATGGCTGAGTACTTATAGGCGTGTCATGGTAGAGGAGAGACGTGAAAGGGAGAGATAGATGAGTGTCTTGCTACCATCTCTGGACTTTGAAGATCAGTTTTGAAAAATGTGGTTATTTTGGTTATGTTGCTCTGATTTAATTCTCAATTTGATTTTTAGGTTGTTGTTTCAGTTGGCATGAGTACAGCCATTGTGCATAACATAAATATGGACACTAATTAATGCTATGGCACATTTGATCTTTTTCCAGTTGGTGATTTATCCTATTATTCATCCAATAATTTTTATAGCAATGAAGGTTCATTTTTTTTGCAATATTTTCCAGTGGGACAACTTGCAATCCATCACTTAAAAATATCTAGGAGCTTTTACAAGGAAAGGAAAGTTAAAAAAATGAAAAAATGTTTTTCAGGATTTTGGTTTTGGTTGTGCTTTTCATTTTGTTTGATTGTTTGTTTGTTTAACAGAAGTATGCAACATGAAATGGCTTTATTTTTACAGTTATTCCTGGGGAAAGTGTAGTATGGGATCTGAATTCATTAGGAGCTTCAGGAAACTCTACAGACTCACTAAATTCTACCAAAAGTAATCTCAAACCAAAGATCTCTTGACAGAGTTAAAAACTGTGACCTTTACTCAGAGTGCAGAGGCACAAAGCAGGAATATGAGGTGTGTGCAGAGAGACTTCAGGCAAAGGTGGATGTTTGGAAGACATTAAGAAGGAAGAAAGGTCTAAAGCTATCTGCAGAAGAGCAAAGGTGACAAAACCAGGCTGGTAGAGAGGGAAAGCAGAGTGTAGCCATGCCGAGATGTGATTGTCATTGACTATGATTTTGCCCTTGAGGTGTCAGATGGTGAAAAGTTAATGGGCTTGGATTCTGGTGAGGGCTGCAAAGGCCCCTCATTGGTACATTTTGCTTTCCTGCAGTCGTATGATAAAATTGTTTGATATCACTTCTGAAAGGGAGATATTCACAGAGAGACAGAGCAGGTGAGTCATGGGGAACAGCAGAGAACCCAGTAGGATGATCTTTGCACGAGCAAGGAAAAATAATGAAGAGCGAGAATATGTCACCAATTTTTCTTTCTGAGTTCAAGCTTTCAGCTATGTTTTATGTATACTTCTCTGCTACTTAATATGTATTATGGTAAACATAGACATCTGTTAGCTTGTGTAACCATAGACAGGTTTTAGTTTAAAACTGTAGGTGCAACAATAAAGATGTTTTGATGCAGCACAGAAACAGAAAACAGTAAAGGCATTTTCACATCTCTGACATATTTAGATTGAGGACATAGAATTGTTAGTTTATGGACTATAAATATTTGTTAGACCAGCAGTGTAAGAGAGAATGACTCTGCTTGTCACTTAAAAGGAAGTATTTCTTGTTGTCTTACACAACCCATCAATGTAAACTCTACATGAGCTAAGGTTGGTGAGTTATTTTCAATAAATAGCTGTCAGCAGATTTTGAAATGATTATTTATGGTTATGTCGGTTGTAGCTGACAGAATATACACATAGCTGTTCTTGCACAAGGGACTATGGTGAAAAATAAGCTGTGGGAATTGTAATTAGTAGTGAAATTATGGTATCTTTGCCACAGTGGAAAGAAGCAGCCAACATCCAGAGTGTCAGTGGAAACATGCTTTATGTTCTAAGTGAATATCTTGTATCTTCAAAGTATTTGTGCAATGTCCACTTCCCTCACCACTGCTAAAATACTAAAAATAGTAAAGGAAGATACCATTTCAGATCAGTTATGACAATCTACAACTGTAATTCCTGTTTCAATATGTAAGCAAATATTCAAGTGTTATGTTCTTGCACATTGAATGAAAAATGCATGACTACAAGTGATACATATTTATTCTAAGAGTGAATTTAAATGCTACTTGCACTTGTTTGTGCTGTTGTTTTGACTCAAAGTTAACATGAAGCAAACAAAAGGCACATTCCTTAGTATTCAAGTTAAAAAGTGGCCATAATTTCCATTTAGAATCACAGATTTGTCAAGATTAACACCTTATTACAAGAATATTATGAAAATTTGCCTTGTCTGGGAGCTGATTTTACCACATCCTGCCCCATTTTCTTTAGAAAACTCATTTTCTAGCTATTTTTTTTTCCATCTGGGCAATGAAGATTTCATATTAAATGTGTTACAGCTGCTTGATAGAAACATTCCAGTCAAGATGAGAATGGCCTGAACCTTCCAGCCAAAGGGTTTGAGAATTGAATTCTATGGGAGCAAACTGTTTCATCATGTAGGATTAGGTGCTGATTTTTGGAGATGTTTCTAGGATTTATACATAGAATTTCATATGACATTTAGAGACTGTCATATTTAAAACCACTTTTCATCCTTATGAAAAGGACAGAAAAAAAATCTGTTTCCAAAAAAGACACTCATCATGGAAATTTGAGTTTGATCAGCCCAGTCTTGTTACCTTTCAGCCTCTGTGTTTAGAATTGTTTCATTGGAAGGAAACTGAAAGATCATTTAGTTTGAATCCCCCCTGCCAAGGGCAGGGACACTTTCCACTAGACCATGTTGCTCAAAGCCCCATCCAACCTGGCCTTGAACACTTCCATGGATTGGGCATCCACAGTTTCTCATGGGAAACCTGTTCCAGTGTCTCATCATCCTCATGGAGAATTTCTTCTTAATTTCTCTTTATCCTCTGCTGGCTCTTCCTTTTGACCTTGGTTTTTACAGTTAGTCTCCAGGTTCCATTTTCACTGGAAAATTTCAGGAAGTAGGGATTACAGAAGACAATCAAGAGGTAGGCAAGCACGGTTGTGAAAGGTAACAGTTGTGATTTCTGTTATTGCTATGGTGGTGGCATCCAGTGGCTCAGATTGGTCAGAAGTTGTGGAAATTATGCAGCTACAGGAATTATAAGGGGAGGTTGCTCTGGAAGGTGTATCTCTCCAGCGGAGACTGCTATTGTTGGTGGCTGAAGGCTAAACTTTTCATGCACAGCAGAATAAAGAGGTTGTGTGAAGGAACTGCCAAGCCTGTAAGCTTTTCTGTTGTGTTTGTTTCTAGATGAGGAATCTGACAGTGGATGGACATTTTGGGGCATGGTCACAGTGGAAACCTTGCACCCACACTGACGGGGCCAGCGTTGGCTCCTGCCTGTGCAGGACGCGCGTGTGTGACAGTCCTGCTCCTCAGTGTGGAGGATGGCTGTGTGAAGGGCCAACCATGGAGATTGCCAACTGTTCCAGGTATGCATGACAATTTCAGGTTCTATCATTTGTGGTTTAAAAATTTTGAACTTAATCAGAATAAAGCCCACCCTTTGAAATCTCCCCTTAAATCTACTGATCCTGTGCATGAAAGGACAAATGGGACATTAGAAAGTTTCTCTCACACTTTGTAGGAGAGAGAATGAGTCAGAGAGCACAGAATCATTTCAAATGCTCTGTACCAAATAATGTTGTCCTCAGATAATTTTAACAACAGCTCTGAAAGAAAAAAAAAATCAGTGTTAGATAATATCCAAAGTATGATATTTTTCTCAGTTCTGTAATTCATACAAGTTTCTTTTCTGGAAGTTAGAATGCCTTTCTTTTTTGGAGGTCTCATATTACCATTGTAGTCCCCCATTCTGCCCTGGAAAAATGTTTCCATTGTATCTTTCAGGTGTATCAAGATAGTGATACCAAGTTCTGTTTTCAGTCTGTATAGAGCTCTTTAGCCACTCTTTTGTCTTCTTCAGGAACTTGACCACTCCCAGAGCAAATCAGTGAGAGCTGATCATTTCAAAGAGACTCAGAACATTACGTATTTGGAACTGCATCAGAAGTTCATGCTCAAAACATTTTACATATATATTTTACATACTTTAATTGCAAGATAAAACATATACTGGTGCATGCTGCTTATTTTCAGTGATTTTTCCTGGGTTTTTTTTCTTTTTTTTCAACATCACAATCACTTCATGATAGTGAATAAAACTGTTTACATTTCTGCACAAGGTAACTGCAGGCCGTGTAAGTGAAAATAGTCTATTTTAGGAGAATTACTAAAAACCTAATAATATATAGCATCAGGTCAGGAGACTGATAGAAAAGATAAACATGCTGTGAGATACTGAACAATCAAACAACAGCTGACAGGTTTAGGAGGGAATTTGGAATGTGATTGGGGACTGGATTTGCATTCTACCTTTGACACTATTACACTACTGTTTTAATGTCTTACTTCTGTTAATGCTGCTATATTAGTAAGGCAATGTTTTAGCTTTTGCTTTTATGATGAAACATCAAAAGATCAATATAGTTTAGTTTTATTTTTCCTTATTTCTGTTTGTGTTCTACCAGTACAAAAACTGCAAAAAACTAGCCATTTAAAGCTTTGGTTAAAGCTGAAGTGCACAATTTTTTTTTTTTTTTTTTTTTTTTTTTGCCTAGTACAGGATATGGAATTCCTTTTCAGATTTTTGGTCTGTTATATTTCTGTAATATTTTTTCTAGTTTTTTTTTTTCGGGGGCGGGGGTGAAGGTGCATGGGAATCCTTTCCAAAATTTCACATATGCAAGGTACATACAAGTGTGTGAACTCTCTTAGCTTTTTTGTTAAATTGCAGGCAAGGTATTGACAGCTTATCAGAACCTGAAATTGAAATTGAGAATGAACTGAAAATTAGAACTAATTGAAATTGAGAACTAATGCATTTTAATGCTTTTTGCATTTTAATGTCATAGAGTGATTTAAGCTGGAAGAGACACCTCAGATTGAGTCTAACCATTAATAAGCACTGCTTAGTCCACCACTAAACCATAACCCCAAGTACAACATTTGCAAGTCTTTTAATACCTCCAGGGATGGTGACTCCACTACTTCCCTGGACAATGTGCTCCAATGCTTGACAACCCTTTTGGTGAAGGCATTTTTCCTAATATCCAATCTAAGTCTCTCCTGACACAACATGATGCCATTTCCTCTCATTCTGTCCCTTGTTAAAATCAAGAGATCAATGCCTGGGAGAAGAAACCAACCCCCACCTCATTACAGTCTCCTTTCAGGTAGCTGTAGAGAGCTATATGGTGTCCTCTGAGCCTCCTTTTCCTCCAGGCTTTAATCACTTTCGTTTCAGACAAGGTGGCAAAATTTGACATTTTAATCTCCCTGAAAGTGATATGTAATTTAGAGTTAGCTTCAGAACATTGATCCAGGAGTTTGAATATGTAGTTTACCCAGAACAAAGTGACCAAAAGCAACTAAATATCTTCATGTCTTTGTAATTCTTGTGTAAGGAGGTTATTTTAGCTGTTGCTAACAGCAAAAGCAAATTCTTTGCAAAGCGTGGAATATGGACTATCATAGCACCTTTATTTTGGTTCAGTATTCCTGAAGAAATGGAACACGATGCAGTATTAATGACTTCTACAGAAATATTAGTAGGCCAGAGTCTGCTGTCAGTCACACCTAATCAGCCATTCGCTATGTATAACAGATGACAGAGCCTGAGCTTTTTATTCTACCAGAAATGGAGGCTGGACACCATGGACTTCTTGGTCACCTTGTAGCACCACTTGTGGAATAGGCTTTCAAGTTCGTCAGCGTTCCTGCAGCAATCCAACCCCTCGGCACGGAGGACGCGTCTGCGTGGGACAGAATCGTGAGGAGAGGTGAGTTATCTTTTATCTATGGTCTGTTTTGATTTCTTCTGTGCAGTTGTATTCCACAGGACATTTTCTCATTTATTTGCCTTGGTTTTCCCTTCCCTTTCCTTTCACTCTCTCTTTAACTTCACTGCTGTACAGTACAGTATTCCCATTAACGAGGCTGTGGGTCTGCAGCAGATCTTTCATCTTTTGCTTCGCTTCATTCCTCCTGAGCCACCTGAGAGATCCTGGTAGTGCCAGACAATTGGGCTGAAGCAACGTGCTGCTGTCCCTTGAGACCCTGAAAATTGATTCTCCTTGAAAATTGATTGCACTGTGTTTGAATTGTAACTTAACCAGCCTCAAGACCTGGAATTCAGAACAAAACATAATAAGGTCACAGCACTGTGTTACTGATGCTGTGAGTTCATATTTTCTGTTGTAAATAAATTAAGCATTTCTATAACATAGAAGGAGGGTTTCAAGGGCTTTGTTTTCTATTCAATAAATATAATACACCTTGAACTCAAATATCTTTAGTAAAGTTTCAAGCTTGGTGGGGTTTTTTTAATTGTTTGTATATATTTTTTAACCCCTGAGCAGATCAAGTTAGCTCAGATTTTGATTTCACCATGTACTGTTTTGGCACCAGACTAAGTATTTTGTCACTAGCTCAGAATGTCAAGTTCAGGTCTTTAATTCTATTTTACATGCACCCTAATTACATTTCTAATTTATGTGGACCCTACATGCATCTCTAATTTCTGTGTTTGCAGTTTTAACAGGAATTAAATATTTCTTTAAATCAGGCTAGAATATATTCAGATAAACTGCAACTCTTGCATGCATTATGTTGTTTTCAGAGTCATACCAGAAAGCTAGATAGCAGAAGACTAGCATTGGTGTGAAAATCTGGAGTCCCATCCATTCCAAGAGATGTATGCGGATATGTTTCCTTCCAATATGCGCTTAGAGCTTACTTCAGTGTTTCTTTATGGATGATGTAGTATCCTGTATTGCTGTTGGATGTAAACTAAAGTCAGTAACCTTTATGAAGAGTTTCAGTGAGGCATTTAATTAAACACCAACTCTAGCATTTCTTCAGATTAAGAGATTCATTGAAGCAAGGTTGCATCACACATTTACGTATTAATGGATCACCAGGGACCTGGTCTTTCTAACTCCTAGATGTAAAGGATCAGTATCACAGAACGTGTGAACATTTCTCGCTGTTTCAAGGCCATGAATATTTACCATTTCATTCTGGAGGAGAGGATTTTGTTCTTCTGTAAATTGCTTTCAGAAAATAGGTTGCCCAACCAGAAAGCCATCACCATCAAACATAGATTGTATCTGCTGTTATTTAGCTCAGTCCCAGCATGAATAACAGTTATTGATTTTGAGAGGTCAATCCAGGGCAGCACACAAGAAGATTAAACATAGAAAAAAAAAAATTCAGTTTGGAGAGACTTTGGGATGATGGACTGCAGATGGTTGTAGTAATTTTTCATTTTAGTTTAACACAGAATAAAAGTTTGATAATAAATAAAAAAAACCTTGAGAAATACTTTCTTAATTATATGAGCATTATGACAATGGGTGTACTGTAAAAGCAGTTATAAACTGGAAAGTGACTTATTATGAGTTGAAATAATAGGAGTCCAGAAGGATTGAATTTTGGTATGCAACAGTTCTGAAGGAACAATAAGCTTATGTTGCTTTGCTTTTGTAGCCTGCACCTTATTTGTCCTTTCTATCTCCATCCAGTTCAGCAGCAACCTGGGATGAATGTGCCTGTGAGTTTACTGCAGGATGCCTTTTTCTCTCAGAGTTCTTCTGTCACTGTTTCCTGTCTCTTTGAAAGACCCTTCACCCCAAATAGCCCTTCACCTTTCTCACTCATAGCTTACTCACAATTAACCTTCCTGCCTCCTCCTTGGTTTTGTTTGTTATCCATGTTATGTCCTGATACTTTTAATTATTTTTTAAGTGTCTTTCTTTTTTTTCCAGAGGGTGTGGTAAGTTAGCAAATTTTGTCAAATAATTGGTGAAGAAGCCAGAGGAATGAAGCATCAGTTTTTGCCAGGATTTTTGTCAGTGTTAAGCCAAGTATTTGGATAAATCTTTTCAGAGCTGTAAAAAGCAGAAGGTCCTGGGATATTTGCCAGCCAGGGCCCATCCCATCACCCGCAGGAGGGGAGCAGGGCAAGCCTGGAGATTGTGGCCAGACCCAACCAAGAGTCTAGATCCTAGTGACATCATGACAATGAGAGAAGTCCGAAGTCCAGGTGGGAAGCTAAACCACAGGCCAGGGTTAGGATCAGGTGAAATAGAGCTCCTTGGCCCATTGGTGTGGGTGGAGGACCCAGGGGAAGCTGGTTGGGGCCATTAGAGTTTTATGAGCGTCCTCATGGCTCTGCCAGCTTGTGGAGAGTTTTGAGCTGTGAGGGCACTGGAGTACCAGCATTTGCAGTAGTATTATTTCACTGTTTCACTCTCATTGAGTTACATCAGCACCAAATGGAAGCAGTTTCTTTGAGCCCATAACATTTAGGCAGGCTGAAAAAAACATTACATGTGCAGTAACTCCTGAGAAACATTTACTATTTTTGTATCCAAAGTGCCAAGAAGCAACTTCTCAGATTTTCATATTTAAATCAACCAATGTTTATAAATAGCCTAATAGTTTACTTTTTTGATGACCGAGCTCATATGTAAAATGAAAATATATTTTGTATTAGTAAAAATTTGAATTAATTGGTTTACATATTGAGTGCATTTGTCTTTGTAAATGTGTGTACTCTAATCACCTTCACATGTTCAGGGGTATAAATATAGGATTCAGTTTCCACAGCCATCTATGTGCCAAACTTTGAAACAGCTTTTCAACAAACAGTGATTTCTGTAGAAATCCAGTACATAACTCCATAGAAAGCAAACACAAAACACAAAAAAGGCAGTGTATATCTGAGGTAAATTTACTTTCAGATCTGGATCCCTATTCAGCTTGAGAGTATTTGTTCATGTGTTAAGAGCTAAATGTTTGTCTAGGATAAATTTGTTTTAACTCATGAAAGCCATGATAGGATCATGGCTAATGTAGGCAGCTCTGTGCTCGCTGGCCATTCCCTTGAAATCAATGGCAATATTTGCCAGTTTAAAGCATTGAAGATAGGTTAAACTGTTTCATGTTCTGCTGAAGGGGTGCAGGGGAAGCAGGGGAAGGCAGTTGAGAGATAATAGCAAATACTTGTATTACAAAGCAAATTCCCCTTGTAGAAGTAGGTCAAAAGTGCAGCTGATGTGCGTGTAGACAGAATATGGAGAGGGAGTAAAAATAACATTGTAACAAAATTTGCTAATAAAAGAATAATTTTGTAGTTAAGACTTCAGATGGAACACATCTTGATCAATTCCTTAGGGGCTTAATTTTTCTGATTTTTCCTGTATAAGAAATATTCACTGAAGCTGCTGAAAATTCTCTAGATCTTAGTTTTTAGAGTCTGTAGTATCCTGTCTTGACATTACCATGTGGTGAGAATGTTTGTCCTTTCTGTGGAAGATGCTGGAGATATGGCCTCATTAAGTCCACTGGTCCCCCTCCTCTCTGTGCAGAAATGAGGGACATTAAAATGCGAATTCCTTGCTTTCAGTGGATGCACTTATCTTTTATTACACAGGAAAGAATAGAAAAAAAACATGGCAATTAGAAAAGTAAATTGGCTGCAGACAAGGAATAAATGTTTGAAAGCTCTGGATATTTTGGCGTGTATAAAACAATTAGAAGCAGGACATATTGTTGCATTATTTTGCACATGGTTCTCAGCAAACATTCAGCTTTTGGGCTTCCTTCCATGAGAAAGAGGGGCTGCTGAGAGTCAAGTGCCTGCTCTGTATAGCACTGCTTGTTTCTGAGCAGTGTGAACAAGCCCAGTCCACTTCAGCAGAGCAGCTTAAACACCACAAGACTTTAGGCTTGCTTGCACTCCCATGGATGTTTTGTCTTCTGGGAAGTGTCTGTTCCCACCCTTCTTGCTTTCTCTGCTCATGGTCTTCCACAAAAGCCCCTGGGACCACATGCCACCTTCCACAGTCTCCTGGATGGGTATTTCTGTCAGTGTACCAGTCTCAATCCAGTAGGGCATGTGTATGTCATGTGCCTGCCTTCAGTTAGAGGAATCTGGCATTCCCATCAGCCTCAGTATAGTCTGTGCATCCCAGTAAATCACCAGCTGGTAATCACAATACCCACCACAGAACAGTACATTGCACAGGAAGGGACACACAGGGATGAAGCTTAGTTTGTTTTTCTTAAACACATGGTAGTAGTATAACATAGTTCAAAATTACAAAATATTTGCTTAAATAACATCTCTCTGCGGAATAATAAGGGCATACTTGTAACTGTCATGCAGTTAGCCCATAATACTCAGTGCTGGATAGCAGCACTGAAATAATTGAATAAATTGATGTCTTACTAAAGGTTGAGATCTTTATAGAAACAAGAATAGTAATGTTAGTTGCAATGAGGTTGTAGCTGTAAAATTTGCTGTAGGCACTAATAGCTGTGGACACAACTAGACAGGGGAGTTCACCCTTCCCCCAGTATGACAATTCCTTTATTAAGGCATTTGAACTTCAGCTCACTTCGGGGGAAATGTGAAGGGTCACTGTACAAAACCCACATTTCTCTAGGCTGTTCTCCATTCTGATCTTCCTGCAGTTAGGTTAGGGGAGAGGGCAGTGCTTTCACAGATTCAAGTTTCTTGCATTGCATGTTTTGTTGAATTACTGTAAAACGTTAGCCCTGTGGGTCCTGAGAACAAAATTAAGAGGGGAAGAAAGAGCAAAAGGGAAAAAGGGTTGCTGAGTGACTTGAAATGCAGCCAAGAACAGATATAATGAAACTTGGCTCAAAGCCCCATGCTGGAGCACAGTTCTCAAAGATCAATTGCAGTGATGTCTCTAGCTGTGAAAACATACCTGATGTTTTCAGAGGCTGGCTGGTTGAAATGAAAATAAGATTCTACTTGTATTCTGTGTTGGTTTTTTGTTAGTTGTCTTTTTTTTTTTTTTTTTTTTTGCCTTCCTGAAAAAAAAAGGAAAAATTGACAGTGTTGACTATTAAAAAAAAAAAAAAAGCAAAAAACTAAACAAAAACCAAAACTGTTTTCTAAATTGAAGTAGTTTACATAGAGATTTTAGGGCATCTTTTCAGCTGCATCTTTAATTAGTATTGGATAACAGAATTGCCAGCCCTTTGAAGTGCTTACTGTGAAGGGTCACTGTTATTAGGTTTCTTTTCTGTCTCCTGCTGAAGTGAGAGAGTGGGAGGTCAGGCACATAGGCACTAAAAGAGCTACTGCATAGTGGTATGACTGTCCTCGAAGTGAGATGTATCATACCATACCTAACTTCAGGGGTTCATGAGAGTGAACGTTTATGTATGAGTCAGGTGTCTGAACTTCCACTGTGGTCTGTAGGAATTTAGTCAATACAGGCTGTGGAGAACAGTAATTTGTGTCCTTCTGCTCTATATTCCTTAACTTCTTCAAATCAATCATTCTAGTCTCCCTAGTTTGTATTGACAAGATTTCCATTGCCTTTAATGGCTGCTTAGATGTCTGTCTCCCATGTAGCATTTATAGTCCAAGAAAATCGATCTGTACATTGAGGGGTGTATTTAAATGACCTTTGCTTTAGGGTAACATAAATCATATTTTTAACTGGGCTGTTTCTTTCCATGAGCTGCTGCTCAAGTTAGATGACTGCTTCATTTTTAGATAGCTAAACTGTAAATGCCTTTATTTTAAGGCAAGACAAGTTGCTTAATTTTGCCCCTGCATGGCTGAATATAATATTTCAACTTCATGGCAGATTTGCTTCAGCCTCAGTGTGTCTCCCAAATTAACTTAACACATCTTCATTAAGAACTGAAATTATGCAAAGTTTGTACTAATTTGACTAAATAAATGCTGATGTTACATCTATATTTTATTGACCATACATTCTCAACAAATTACCTAGAAGAAACTATCACACACATTCACACATAAATGACTGCATGTGACAAAGAAAGTGTGCAGTTGGAGTTCTAGGAGAAGAATATTCAGGCACAGAACATTCCTATGTATCTTTAATATAATGTGAACTGTAATGTGTTTACCCAAATCATGCACTGAAGAATTCTGACAGCATATTCATAAATATTGAGGGTTTGGGCATTTTTTCCTCAGTTTCCAGAGGAAAGGTCAATATAAGCTGTGAATAATTTTCGTAAGTCTACAGAAGCAGAAAACTAAATGTCACTCCCCTATTAACCTCACTCCCAATCTTTAGATTTTGATGGAGTTGCCCAGACCTAGGGACAAAGTTTGAATTTTAGGCTCCAGCATGTGCAATAAATCTACTTTTGTATGTTACTTACACCACCAAGATTATTTTTTTGCCCTCCACAGAGTTCCAAATGTTCAAATTCCTTATAATGAAGGATAATGAAGAATTAGAGCTTGTAGATATTGGGGCTTTCAGAATAAAACAAAAAACCTGTTGTGATTATTCTTGTTGAAAATGACAACTGTTCATACTGTCATTTCTCTTTTTGTAGAAAATGAATAACTGGAGTATTAGAGTCAGTTTTGACTGTAGAAGAGTGCCAAGAGATGAAAACTTGTTAGAAGGGCAAGAAGACATTGGATTTTGGATGAATGGTGTAAAAACTGAGGAAATACTGTATCAGATTGATTTGTTCATTCAGGACAGTCAGTATTGTAACAAGAGCTACCCAGATGCATCAGGGAATTTCTTTAGAGTTGTCTGTTTCCTAACTATGCTGTGTGTTTGCTTTATCTAAGTAAGAGTTTGGTCTCTTAGAGAGCCCTAGTCACACTAGCTGATGGCCCAAATCCTTTGGACCTGTGTAGAGCTTCCTTAAAAAGCAGCATATGCTATGGCTAGAATTATTGGATGGGACGCTCAAAAAATCAGGAATCTAAGGCTTCTACTAAAATTGAAAAACTCAGCTGAAGCTGGGACCTTCCCACATTCCTTCTGAATGTATTGTTACAAAAATGACAACTCAATAGTGCTCCCCTCAAGCACCTACTAGGTCTCTGAATCAGTTTGCAGCCTACAGGAAAATCTTTCAAAGATTATAATAGCTAAAAACACCCTTTAAAAAGTAAAGTAGTAACATTATAAACAAGTGCAGTTCTTTATGCCTAGAATCAATGTTGTAGCTTTTATATTGTATGTAGAAGCAGAAATGCTATGAAAAGCAAGTGTAGCTATCTGAAGATGAGAGAGATAGATCCTAATCAATTCTTAGCTGGAGACTGATAAAAGACTGCCTGCATCAATGTTTGCCTTCTGTTTGGTTGACTGCCACAGAGGCATAGCCACAACAGGTTTTAATAAAGTAGTTTGCAATCTTGCTTGCGTGACCACAGTACAATTGCGTGGCTGCATTGCATGGAATGTTAAAAGTCACTGAATTAACAAACAAATGCTCCACCCACACAACTGCAACCTAAAAAAACCCCACTCAAATGTTTAGACACACTGTGCAGTGTTACAACTGTTAGAGAAGTGCTTAATGAGTAGGGAGAGGCCTTTGTATAAAATATTTCCCTGTACTTATAGATATCTAAATTATGCAAATGAGGGAGGTTTTGGGGGAGGTCTTGTCTTGATAATAAATAGATTCTTTGCCTCCTTATTTCTCTTCTCACAGGTACTGCAATGAGCATTTGTTGTGCCCCCCTCATGTGTTTTGGACAGGCTGGGGGCCATGGGAGCGCTGCACGGCTCAGTGTGGAGGAGGGATCCAGGCGCGGCGCAGGACTTGTGAAAATGGCCCTGACTGTCCTGGCTGCAGCGTGGTAAGCAGTTTCCAGCTTTCTCCTCATCAAATATCTATGGCCATGTGCCACAGATGTCTCTATGTCATAGAATCATAAAATCATTTAAGTTTGAAAGGACCTCTAAGGTTATCAGGTCCAATCATTAACACACCTCTGGCAACTCCTCCATTGAACCATATTCCCCAGTGCTTCATCTATGTGTGTTTTAAATGCCTGCAGGGATGGTGACTCTGACACTTCTCTGGCCAGTCTGTTCCAGTGCCTGATAACCCTTTCAGTGCAGAAATTTTTCCTAATATCCAATCTAAACCTCCTCTGGCAAAACTTGAAGCTATTTCCACCTGTCCTAACACTAATGCTCTATAAATGCCCATAAAGCATCTATGTCTATAAGCTCTACCCCTAAAGCGAGTAGTCACCAGACTGTTTTTGTCTCTGTGTTGCTTGTATGTGCTGAAATCTGCACAATTTATCAATCAGAAATATATATAATTCAGCTTTTTCACAGTATCATCTAGAATTTAAGTTTCTTGAGGCGAGGTTGGTGCAGATGTATATGTGTTGTTGCAGGTTCAGAGTGTTGTTTTTTTTTATTTTTACCATCAGAGTGCATAGGTACCCTAGCCATGAGCCCAGGACTCCAGTGTACCATGTTCTGTAGAGCAGAGAAAAAGCTAAGTTTCACATCTAAATACATAAGGAGTCAATCAGTGAATGCATGGAAGCACCAGGAACGTGCTGAGGCGATATTTGATAGCAGTGATATCGGCACAGCAGCAGCCCAGCAGCTGGCAGTCTTTGAATTTACAGTGGGATGATTTGAATGAGTAGAAGTGTTTTATTGATACTCAGTTTATTAAGAGAAACACATGGAAAAACATGTAGGGGATTTTTCTTATATATGAACAAATAGAGGTGGGGAGATAAAGAGGTAGAATAATTTTTTTTCTTTTTACTATTAAACCAATTTTTATATGTCTTAATTTCAAAGAGGCCTAATTCTGAGGTTTGTCATAATCTGTGGTCTGTTTGTTAGATTGGCAGTAATTCATTACTAAAAAAAGGATAATTTATTACCTTTTTCTAATTTGAAGGTTTTGTGCATTTTCCCAGGATTTGTTCTCTTTCTAAAATTTATTCTGATGATAGAATTGCATTTTGAGTAGATTAAAAACATCCAAGAGGCTTGTTCTTTTATTTCAGTTAAACTTTAAGAATTAACCCAATAAATTAGAATTCTATCAAGTTTTCCAAAATATTTGTCTCTTCTGATGGTGCACCGAAAAAGCAGACATATGGTCTGGATCTAGTGTTAAACCTTCCTGACTCTCACTGAAAAGAACACAATATGATGGTTTTCTCCCTCACTTGTTCCTATTTATCCTATAATAATGTTTGTGAAATATAGTGGCATTTTATTTTGCAGAGAATCTTCCCATGGTCTTAAATCAAAAATGTGTGGCTCTAATTTGCTTGGAAAGCTCTATGAGGAAAGTAGGAAAACCTTTGGTGTAAAAATTTCTTATTATAACCAATTTGAGATTAATGGTACTGGGGTTTTTAATTTATTAACAGCCTTAGCACATATTCTGCTGCACCATGGAATAGTTTCCAGTTCAGCTGTGGAAATGTTCTGGAGATTTTTTATTAATTAGAAAAGTATTGTGTTGATGGTTTATTTTGAGCTTTGGAGTACATAGTTGTCTTGCTAAAACTTGCCACCAATGGAAACCCATCCAGTGTAGAAATCCTCCATAAACTCTGGTGTTCTTGCAAGACAAAGTATATGTGTATAAATTATACTGTGGTATAAAGTCTGTGTTCTGTTTAAGTTTCACTGAATTTGAACCTTTGAGTTACTTGTCTTGATTCAGAGGCTTTGCAGCCATATCAGGGCATAGTCACTAAGTGAAGCTGGAGAAAAAATACTTTATTTCTCTCAGAATTTGTTTCATTAATCAAAGAAAGTGAAATCAGAGATATTTTTATGCCTTCTTTTAATTGTTGAATGATTTAAATATTTATATTAATAAAGTCTTATGAATGAGGAGCGCAAATATGAAACTTGTTGGATGTTCTTCTGCTTCAACCAAATTTCTGATTTTATTGTAGTAGGTGTAAGTATTTTTCCAAACAGTTAGAATTATTATTTTCTATAATTGTGAATAAAGGAGAAGTGAATGTGACTTCTTACTACTGTTTTCCATTCTTTACTGCTTGTAGTGATACTCAGCTTAAGTTTTGCAAGATATTTAGTGAATTTAGTTTCTTTCAAAAACCTTTTATCCTGAATATCTCTGAGTACTTGAGAATCTAAAAAATCTTGGGAAGTGTTGTAGTGAAAGTGGTAGTAATCCATACTATCTACTGTTTGTTTTGTCTGGAGTAAAAGATGTTATGAGGCAAACATTTACCACTTGAATTAAAGGCATAGTTGGGAGTAGACTCAGGAACTTGAAGTGCTTGGTTCTCTCAACCCTTAAATGATGGCTTTAAACTATAAAGAGACTCTCCAGGTTTCTGGTTTACCTTCTTCAGAGGAACTCCGTGAAACCTTCGCAACATTTGAGCAGCATGAGTTGCAGCTGAATAGTTCAGTGTCTGTGGCCTGTGGAGAGGAGAAGAAAAGAAAAAGGGTAGAGGACTGGAGAACTTATTATTCAAGAAGAGATACTATGTTAGGCTTTGTTTCGTCTTGAAATGAAAATAAATTTTTGATGCATCAGAGTTGTAGGATGGATGAAATGCTGTCTTGGGACCCCTTTCAACTGTGCTAGTTCTTTGTTTTTAGAACTTCATTTTTAGGGAATTGTGGGAAAAAACAGCAACAGCAGCTGTTTTTATAAGACTTAAGAAAGGGAACCTTACAGTATGCTTGCCAGCAGTATAAGGGGACCAGATTTAATTTTTTAGGAGAACCTGCCTCTTCTGTTTTCTCATCTGCAACCTGGCTGTGAGACTGCAGTATAGCCAATCCTAATCTATTTTCCTGTCCTTATTTTGCAGCTTTTACCATATTAATCGCTATTGTCTGTGTCCACCTAATGACTGATACCACACGATTTTTAATGAACAGTGTTTCTTCCTATTAGTTTGATTGTATTTCTCCTAGGCTGCAATATCACAGCAGGCAGCTACTGCCTGTGCTTGTCTTTTTGAATGTTTCTCATCAGTTGGTTCCTTGACTTTATCTGCCTTATAGCAGATAACAGCCAAGCTGCTTGAATATTTTTTATCAGAACTCAGAGTTCCCTACTGTTATTTCCAACTTATTTTATAAAATAATAATGATAAATCTTTTGATGCGTATAAATATTCCACAGAGAGAAAACTGTGATGGTATCTTAAAGATGCATCTGTTGCTTTAATGCACTCAATACATGGAAATGGATGGCCAGAGACATAGGACTGAAGGCATTTTCACTGAATATAGAAAACCATAAATCAATATGTTACAGGAGAATTAGACCACAGAGACTCATAAGGTCAAAAAGATGAAGTTTGAAATCAAAATCAGGAGTCATAAGGACCTGTCAAAGTCCTTAAGTTAATCAAAGCTACTAAAGAGTGCTTAAAATTGCCTAATAAGAGATAGAACCATCATAACCAAATTTAGGAGCAGCTAAAATCTGGTTATAGAAAGCTTAAGCATATCACAAAACAAGTATTAATCTCATGTATACAGGTGATACAGGCACTAGAGAAGGAACTGTGGAATTCTCTGGACTGTGCTAATGTGACTCAGAGGACAAACATCCTCAGATTTTACAGCATACTCAGATAAGCTATATGTTTCCTTCAGAAAATGCTTCTTTTCCCTTGAGAAGCATTATCTCACTTGAATTTGTCTCAGGCCAGTAATAAAGGAATAACTTTTTAAAAGAATTATTAATAGAATGAGGAATTTAGTTTGAGGTTGAAGTTGGGTGACATGCTTTATGTGTATATTTGTCTGTGTTCTTGTTTCAGTCATACTAACATATACATTAATCTTAGTTTTTGTACTGGGTGACTGGTAAATGGTATATACTTTCCACATACCAGAAAAAAGTTTTGCTGCGAAACAAAAAAAAGGAGGAATTTTATGTTTCTTAGAAAATAATAGCTATTTTAGGGGGGTTTTTGTCTTGTGGTTTTGTTGGGTTTTGTTGGCTTTTTTTTTTTTTTAATTTATTAGTATTATTGTTTCAATATTTTGAAATTGTTCGGAACACAAAACTTTTTTCAGAATTTTTTTTCATCAATTTTTAAAAGAGAATTTGAAGATGGAAGGTTTTCAGAAGTACTTTGCCCATCAGAGAGAATAGTCTGCCTTTTTTTACTTGCCATCTCACAAAATAAGTTTGAAATTTATAGTCCAGAAAAGTGACCATAAAATAAAATTATTATGATTTTTTTAATAGTTCTTTTTTAAGTTTCCATTTGACTTAAGAAAAATAATCTATTGCATAACCAGAAAACAATCTCACAAGCATGATGTATAAGAAATTGTGCTATTTATATGATGTTTGCCTACTTTATGCTCATTCCCTTTTTCAATCCTTTTTTCTTCTGTAATGCAAACTTTATTGAGTATTAACTGTTTTTATGTTGTAAAAGTTTAACAAAGTAGAACCTCTTTTCTTTTGATGCTGCACATTCTACTGCAATTTTAAGCCATAACAAGTTACTTAAAGAGGGTAAAACCAAAAAAACCCAAAATCATAGGAAATAGTTTCAGAAAAATGTTTAAGCATCTTGATCAATGGTACAAATCTGCTTACCTTGGTCAGTAAAGTGAGTTACCAGCTTGGCATTCATGGTCAAGGTAAATGTGAAATATGAACTGGTTGAACTGATGTGCATATATATCCAAATGTGAGCTGTTTAAGGTGGAATTTGGGCATCCAGCAATCATTTTTCTGTTTCATTTATTTAATTTTGAAAAAGAAGCTAAACTGTTAGGTGTTTGCTTTCTTGCTGAGAATAGTGTGAAGCATCCCTTTTTTGAGAAATGTAATTTTTAAAGTCACTTTAAG